AGGTGAAACTATAATCAAACCAAAGATGCTTATCTGGTGCATCTGTGGATATTTACAACATAACTCACGTTTTTTAAACATTTCACAGTTTCTTCTCTTGAATCACAAAACAAACACAACTATACACAAAACAAAGCAATTTTGACAAAGGAAAAAGGACCATACAGCCTCTCAAGATTTGGGATGTTTAAAAAAATTAATAATTGCAAGAATTATTTCAAATTCTTCTCCCCAAGAACCAATAAAGCACAGAAATAAAACAAAACTTACATGAAAGTAAGATATGTGTAAATAAGCATTGAAGTGAACTCTGGGTATGTACAAAGTTCGCGCCTTGTGATCGCTGTCATACGAATGCATCAGAATCGTAGTATAATCGCTGTAGCAGCGCGATGAGACCTACAACGCAGTGGAAGTCCTGTATAAAAGCTTTGAAGACGCAAATGATCGCAGCATTCATGCAGTGATAATAGACTGTGCTTGCACGGAGAGCGCGCGAAGGCCTTGGAGATGTCACGGCGTATCTATCGTGCTTTAAGGCGCTTTTGATAAGATTATTTAATTTTCTTGTGATTTTTTTGACTGCAAATATACGGTGTACAGCAACAAAACAAACTTGTGACAGCGATTACTGCGGCCCATTGGCGTTTCTTCAGCGTCCATTTGTGATATCACAATGCGCTTGCATGGATTTATTAAAACGTTGTCAGCCAGCTCACGACTAAGGAATGTTTTGAAGTTTTGTGTGAGTTATTGGTTTGTGAATCAAACAGAATTGTCACATAGGCATATTCTTGAAGCACGCTGGCGCTTCATGAAAAGTATGCCTACCTGCAAGTCCGTGACATGCACATGACATCTCACAACAATATTTCAGTATGCTAAAATTCTTTACATGATTGATAAAATGAAAGAAAGGTGGGTCCGTACTCAAAGTTTTTCGTCAAACTGATCCTTTTTTAATTTGAATCCTTTGAATAACCCATGGACTAACTAACGCAACTTGATGTGATACAGTCCTTACCCATTTTTGTGTTTTGAACATAAACTCAAAGAGTATCAGACTTTTTAGAGATGTTTTGATTTTTTAATAGTGGGTATTCCAGTACAAGTTATAATGAGAGGAGATGACTCGGTGAAAAATTTTCTGGAGAATCTCAAGAGGGAAACTACCATGCACCATGCCACTGGGATGTTGATAGGATGTGGAGGTAGTGGAAAGTCACACTGCGAGAGAGATTAAAGGACATAAATCTTGAGGAAATTCGGAAAAATACAAAATCTACCAGAGGAATAGATATCCAACCTGACGTTTTTGATGTGTCAAACACAATCAAAGGTATTGTTAGCTCAACTGTGATGAACATCTTAATTGAGCGTTTTCGCACCACCTCGTTGTCCGTCACCCGTCCGTCGAGCCGTCGTCTGTCCGTCTCTGTACATTTTCAGATTTTCATCTTCATTTCAAGAACCAGTGACCAGTTTACCCAAATTTGGTACAAAGGATCTTTAAGTGAAGGGAAATTTAAATTTTAAAATGAAGGCTCCATCTAAGGCCTTACTTAAGGCCTAACCCTGTGGTTGAATTTGATAATCAAGAAAAGACCAAAATAGTCAGGGGTCATCAAAAATCTTCGCCTTAAGAACTACTGGGCCAAAAAGCTGAAATGTATATAGAAGCATCTATTAGTACTAGTGTAAATTCTGAATAGTTCTTAATCATACCCCGAACCCGGAGGTAGGACGGTGTCACAATAGGGAATCTAAGTATTAGATAGAAATATTTAGGAAAAAATCTTTAAAAATCGCATTCTCTTGAAATACTGGGTCGAGAGCTAACACGTATATAGGAGCATCCATAAGACAGGACCACAATAGAGAATCCAAGTTTAATAATGAAATAATAAAATCTACTTCTCAAGAACAACTGGACTAGAAAAGCTGAAACTAATGTTTGAAGTATCCTGGTTAGTGAAGATTCTGAAGTTTAAAATCATGACCGGGGAAGGTTGGGCCCCGATTGGAAATCCAAGATTTTCATTGAAAATAAGAAACTCTTCACAAGAAACACTTAGCCAGAAAAGTTAAGATTTATCTGAAAGCATCCTGGGGTATTGTAAATTTTAAGTTGTTCAAATTATTTAACCGGAGTTAGGTTACATCATAACCGTAAATATGTACATATTTTGTACCGAAAGCTTCGAGTGACCGTAAGACGTGCTAACTTTAATCGTCAATTGCCATGATGTCGGGTAATTATACTTTTCGTCAAGGTCACAACATGGGGATTTGCATTTTAGAGAAATGGATTTACTACTGCCGAAAACTTATTTGTGGACTGTCACAGAAAAAAAAATATATAATTAATTTTCTTTTCATCAATAATTCAAAATTGCATTCTGCAATTTAAAAGCAACGTTTATGTCCATTGTACAAGATAAATGTTCATTAATTTTGTTGCCTGAGAAATTCTGAAATTATAGGAGATGTGAAAACAATCTGTTTAAACATACAGAAATTATAATAAAAGATAAATGATTTTTTTTATTTCCGGAATGTGCAAAGAGCTTGTTTTAATGCCATATGTTATTATAATTATTAGAAAAGAAAAAGAAAAGGCCTAAATGAACACCGCTTACATTGTATTAAATGTTCGATATTTTTTTTCATATTACATGAAAAATATTTTAAGGCAATTGATCAAAATAAGATAAATTACTCAGAACAAAAGTTCATTATTGTTATAATTTCACAGTTAATTCATCCAGCCAAAATCAACGATTTAAGGTTAGAATTGATGAAAAAAGTCAACATCACCATGTTCTTGAATCCCCAGTGGAGAAATTTGATGAAGTGAAAGCTCTGGATATCAATGATATCCATGATCCAGGGGATTTGAAAGAAGACACTGCTAGCGAGGCCGCTTACGATGAAGACTCGTCACAGGATAGCATAGACACAGAACCCGAGTCACTTAAAGGAAACGAAGCCGCTGCTCCAGTACCGGTAACAAGAGAAAAATCAGTTGAAGGAAATACAAATATTGCTAAACACTCGGAAAGTTTAGGAGTTTTAAGAGTTGTCCAAAATGGTTCGGATGAACCAGAGAAAAAAATATCTATGGTCGACTTTGCGGGGCAGTGTTCATATTATTCCTCACACCAGCTTTTTCTGAGTCCACGAGCATTCTTCATTTTGGTGTTCAATATGGAGAAACAATTTGATGAAATGGTTGGAGAAGAAGTGTGTAGTCAGAAACGCTCCATTTATAAGGAATGGACACATAGAGGTTTGTGTTTGTCAAATAAGCTTTTTATTAGCTCACCTGAGCCGAAGGCTCAAGTGAGCTTTTCTGATCAAAATTTGTCCGTCGTCTGTCGTCGTCGTTGTCGTTGTCGTAAACTTTTCACATTTTCATCTTCTTCTCAAGAACCACTGGGCCAATTTCAACCAAACTTTGCACAAAGTATCCTTGGGTGAAGGGAATTCAAGTTTATACAAATGAAGGACCACACCCTTTTCCAAGGGGAGATAATCATGAATTTGTTAAAAATTTATGGCATTTTTAAAAAAATCTTCTTCTCCAGAACCCCTGGGCCAGGAAAGATGAAACTCATGTGGAAGCATCCTCAGGTAGTGCAGATTCAAGTTTGTTCAAATCATGACCCCCGGGGCAAGGGTGGGGCCAAAATGGCCGACCCAAGTTTAACATAGGAATATATAGGAAAAATCTTTTAAAAAATCTTCTTCTCTAGAACCACTGAGCCAGGAAAGATGAAACTTATGTGGAGTCATCCTCAGGTAGTGTAGATTCAAGTTTGTTCAAATCATGACCCCTGGGGCAAGGATGGGGCCAAAATGGCCGACCCTAGTTTTACATAGGAATATATAAGAAAAATCTTTAAAAATCTTCTTCTCAAGAACCACTAGGACAGAAAAGATGAAACTCATGTGGAATCATCCTCAGGTAGTGTAGATTCAAGTTTGTTCAAAACATTACCCCCGGGGCAAGGGTGGGGCCAAAATGGCCGACCAAAGTTTTACATAGGAATATATAGGAAAAATCTTTAAAAATCTTCTTCTCCAGAACCACTTGGCCAGGAAAGATGAAATTCATGTGGAATCATCCTCAGATAGTGTAGATTCAAGTTTGTTCAAATCATGACCCCCGGGGATAGGGTGGGGCCAAAATAGGGAATACAAGTTTTACGTAGTAATATATAGAACAAATCTTTAAAAATCATCTTCTCCAGAACCACTGAGCCAGGAAAGATGAAACGCATGTGGAATCATCCTCAGGTGGTGTAGATTGAAGTTTGTTCAAATCGTGACCCGTGGGGCAAGGATGGGGCCAAAATGGCCGACCAAAGTTTTACATAGGAATATACAGGAAAAATCTTTAAAAATCTTCTTCTCCAGAACCACTGGGCCAGGAAAGATGAAACTCATGTGGAATCATCCTCAGGTATTGTAGTTTCAAGTTTTTCAAATCATGACCCCCGGCCCTGGGGATAGGGTGGGGCCAAAATGGCCGACCCAAGTTTTACATAGTGATATATAGGGAAACCTTTTAAAATATTCTTTACAAGTACTTCAAAGCTATGATTAGTGATACCCGGGCTATTTATATGGAATCATCCTCAGGTAGTGTAGATTCTAGTTAGTTCAAATGATGAACGCCTGAAAGGGGGGAGTAAATTCAAGCCCGATGTGCTCAGGTGAGCGCTGTGGCCCCTGGGCCTCTTGTATTTATTTCTTGTCTTCATCAAACTATACCCGACAAAGCGCAGGATCATAGGATCCGAATTTCTTTTCAAATAACTTGTTTTTAACTTTTAAATTAAAAATGTAAATGTGTATTGTTTGGTACATTTAGTTATTTGTAGTTCTACTATTCTTTTTATGAAAGACTGACAATTAATCCGAAAACGCAAGAGCAAAATAATTTTTAACAAATAATTGTTTTATGTTTCTTCATATTGTTTTTTAGTACATTTTACTACCTCTGTCTGGAATCATTTCCCCAAAAAGCTATACTTATTACTGAAATAATCTAGACTTTAGTAAAACAAAACAAAAGAGATTTCTTATAATGTAAAGAGGGGTATTTTTGTGGAGCAATTATTTTGGGTTGTATACGATTTTGTTCTTTTGTACACATGATAGATAAGTGTAATAAATATAATTTCTGAAAAAGAATTCAAACAAGAGGTTGAATATGATTGGGGTCCTGTCCACAAAAACCTGTGAGTCTGATATGTACATTTTTGACTTCACTGGAAACAGGTAAAAATATAATACGGTAAATCTGCCTTTTTACATTGGAGGAATAACATAAGGCCCAATTTGAATATAATTGTTTTTTTCGATTATTTAGATTATGTATCTTTCTGGGCAAAGAATATTCATCAATACAGCAGTGAAAAGGCTCCAATTCTACTGGTTGGTACTCATGCTGAAAAAATGACAGAAGAGGTAAATAATATCAATATAAAAACAGGGAATCACGGTTGTTACCAAACTCGATGTAGCTTAATAAACACGAATGTGATTTAAAAAAAATAACATGCTCTCTTACTATGTGTTATGAAGCTGCATGTAACCAGAGAGTGGTGTAGTTTTCTTGATCTTCATTTTGGCGCTCTCGGGTTTACTAAAAAAATATAGATTAGAAAAAATAGTATGTGCAATATATCAAAACTTTTAAAGAATAAATGAACTTTTTATTTTAACAATCTAATTACAATTAGATATTAGATCCGCTCGCGCACTCGCTACACTGAGATCTAACAACATCCCATTCAGGGTACCGTCAGAAGTCAAATTCTATCCGACAAGTCAAAATTGCCCCCCGCGAAATCATCGTATATTTGCTGAAGCGAATGCGTCTGCAGTTGTTTTTTTTTTCGACTTTGACCTATCACCTCCGACGTGACCCTCTATGGGATGTTGTTAGATGATTTAAAATGATACGGAATAGGTAGCTATTGTTCCTTCGCAGAGGGCTCGGCATATTGAAGCATATGGATGAGACATTAATACTCGAGGCCCTCTTTCATGAAAGGAGTTGGCATTCAGTGCCCGATTCTTCACTGTTCAATGATCCCGTGTGCCGAGTAAATGTCAAAAAATCTTTGAAGCCCTTCAATGGAATTCGATGAAGTCAGTCTGGATATGAAAAAATTCAATGGGATGTAAAACAATAAACAAACAATCAAACATTCTAACACAAAGATATCTGGGCAATGTTCAATCTACATGTACTTAATCAATACATTACCCACGGCGGTGATCAATAGTCAACTTAGGTTGCTTTCTTTTAACAATAGATTTTTTTGTTATTTCCCGATGATGACAAGTAGCACACGGCGGGTGTGACCGGTCGACAGGGGATACTCACTCCTAAATGGCACCTGATTCCAACTCTGACGTTTTGGAGGCCCGTGGTTGCTCTGCTCCTGTTTTGGATTGATTTAAAAACTTTTGATCTTAAATACTGTTCGATTTATTTTTTTCCTAGGTAACAAATCCCCTGTTTAAAATTTCCAGAGATCGGCGTTATAAACCTTTGTGTGCCGTGTATTTCCAGTTTTCATTAATGCACCGGTTATGGACGATTAACTGGCATGGAAAACATTAAAATCGTTAAATAAAAACCAGTAGAACGTATGTCATGATCTTAAGGCCATGTCACCGAGTAATTTGGAAAGCACTTAACGAAGCATACTTTTTAATTGGGGAACACTGGATGTTTATACATTAACATCTAAAAAGATCTTAATCTAATGGTAGGTGATGCTTGGTTAGAGGCTAAGAAGTATGGAATTTAAGAATTAAAAAAAATTATTGAAACAATCAAAACATATGTTAACTTGCCACACAAAAACCTCTAGAAGTGTTTGCTTGCTGACTTTTCATGTATCATAATGTTGAAAGTATGCTATGAACGAGGGAAATGATTTTTCATCATCTTTATCTGTCCAACATATAAAATGTCAAGCCTTTGGATTCTTTCGTAATTAATTAAGCCTTCTTCTACATTCTCTTAGGAAAAAGTGGAATTTTTCCGTGAAATATGGAAAACTTTGGAAACAAAAGACAAGTCTCTGCAAGGGCATCTTGACAAAAATAGGGCGTTTGCAATAGGATTTCATGAAAATGAAAGCATCGAAAAAATAAAGGAGTCAATTGTGGATGTTGTTCAGAAACTTGATCACTGGGGTGAAAAGCTTCCGCGCTCATGGGCTATGTTTGAAAACTTCTTCCAAGAAAAGAAATACCTTAAAATAATCAACATAAGGACACTTATGGCTTTCAATGAAGCATTACCATCGGATATAAAACTGGGGAGCGTTGAAGATATCAACATCATGCTGCTGTATTTCCATGATATCAGAGACATTTTGTATTTCAACCAGAATGTTCTCAAGGAAGTAATCATCCTTGATATTCAATGGTTTGCAGATGCGTTCAAAAATGTAATCACGGATAAAAATCACGCAAAGGAGGATTTACTCGAGTTTTCATCTGAGTGGGACCAATTCGATGACACGGGAGAACTGAGTGACACTTTGCTGTCCAGGATTTGGAAAATGAACGATAACGAATACATTGAACACAAAGATGAGATCATGCTGTACATGGAGAAGCTGGGGCTATTGGTTAAAATGGATGACAAAAACTGGTATGTTCCCTGTATGAACAAAAAGACATATCCTGGAAACTCGTTCTCATCAAACCCTTCCTCATCCATCCTCTGCTTCACATTTGATGTTCTTCCTGGGGCATTTTCCATCGCCTTGTAGCAAGTTGCATGCAAATTCCTTGGAGCATTGTCAAAGAAAAAAAGGAAGGAAAAGAACAACCTTGCATTTACCAGACAGCGGCTGTATTTCTTATAGGGGACCACAACGTTCTCCTTGGAATGACCCCAACAGAAATTCAGTTGCAGGTGTCTGTTCTTGATGGAGAAATTGATACATTGACGTGTTTCGAAATAAAAGAGAAAATTGAGAATGAATTGCACATTCTTTCTTGTACATTCCAAAGAAACTTGAAATTCCATGTTGCTTTCAAATGTAAACGTGTCGGATTTTGTGATAATGAAAGAAGTCACGTTATCAGAGAAACTGAGCTAACAGAGCCAACACTCCAGTGTCCGTACTGCAATCTAGAGAACAAGCATGTTATTATCACAAAAGAAATCACCAAATACTGGAAACAGGTAAAACAAAATTATAGTTACTTTGCCTTTTTATTTTTTTTAAAACAATTTTCCAATAGCTAAAATTATTTTCAAAGTTTTAGAGGGGTTAGATTTTTTTTTATTTGGCATTCTTCTATTAAAGCTTTTCATTTGATTTCACTATCAAAATATTGAATATTTTTTCTTTACATCTTTGATACATTCTATCCTTATTTCATACTAAACACTATTCACTCAGTCAATGTACGACATTTTGAGAAAAATTAATGCTATTTTTTGAATTATCAATTTTTGTCTGAAATAATGGATAACACAAAAAGGTAAACTAAAAATATGAACGCACCGAACATACTGAAGTACCAACTTGTGGGCTCATATTACACCGAAAAAAGGTTTCTCACATTGAAGAGAACCTGTTAATTTGATCTTCCATTAACTGTAGCTTACCAAAAGGATAATAAATTAGTTTTAAAACATAAATCATAATTGCAGTTCAAGGAAGAGAGTTAAACAAAATGTAAATATAAGCAATGAAACATTATTTTTTAAAGATATATTTTCATTACTGCAACGGTTTGTGCAAACATATTTTAAAAACCTTGTAACAAGCGTTTCTAATTACTCAATTAGATCACACACACCGCTGCAGTTGTAAGAACACATAAACATTGGAAGAATAAATATAATGATTCATTGCTTAACTATGTTATTTGTTTTTTTATTTCAATGAACGTTTTTAAAATAAAAAAAAAATATTTGAAATAATAAACGTATGGTGTTGTCACAAGCGCCGCTACTTATACTAAAAATAAAGGGGAAAAACTTTTAAAGTTTTCTGTGAAAAAGTATACAGTATTAGACAAAATAACAAACATAATTATGTTACGTGGTTATTTATTTCCTTGAACGCTGTTGATATGGGTATTAAATGATTTCTATCCTTAAATTAAATCTATTTATTGTTCTTGCATAATTTCAAGTCAAAGTATACATTAGTATGAACAGACAGGGCCAAAAAGGAATAGTTTGTATTTCTTTCATAGACACGCGTTCTTCTTTAAGAAAGGATGTCACGAATCATCAAGCTTCAGATGGAAACTTAAAATGTTTACCTCCTGTTTTCTTATATTGGTTGTAAAAAGTGTTCATTGTACACAACTTTCACATATATGAAAATGATGTTTGACCAACAAAACTATAATTTATCTACCTTCTTATGTGTTGCCATGGAAACAACACAGAGCTCATCAGCCAAGTTTGCCGCCATATTGCATATTGTTTACACAAAAGATTCAGCTAAGGGAAGTAACTCTTTGAATTTTTCAAGCGCTTTTAGTGAGGTAAAATTTGCTCATAAAAATTATCTGCAACAAATGCTTCTCATTTTTTTGCCGAATCTTAAATTTGTAGAAAAGGAAGTGTTTGTTTAATTTTTAATACCAGATTGAGATAATCTTGTTGTAGATTAAAGAATTTAATTCTTATTTTGGCTTAATTATTTAAGACAAAACTAGAATATAGAGGCATAAAAATATTTTTTTTAATTTTAACCAGTGATGTTTAGTGGTAAAAATATTAGAATAAGTTTCTATGCTTATGTGTTTTAACTTTGATTTAATAATATGTGACACCTATGTATCTACAAATGAAAAAATTAGTAAATATACGTTCACCGATATGGTTGCACACTTGGGGATGTTTGGTCTTGGTTTCCATGGTAACGGTTCACAAAGGCCACTGTTTTATAGCAAAATGTTATCAGCGCATCCCAAATGTTTCACTATCAATGCCATTTAAAAAAGCAAATTTTTCAAGTTTTCATGATATATATAGAAGAGGCTTGATGGTTCGTGACATTCTCTCTTAAGCATTATGACATGCATCTTTTGATTTTATGATCATCAATCTACAGGTTCATTTATATCTAATTCTAAATTTTCTCTCTAGGTGTACATTTAAAAATTGCTTTTTCTGAAAAAAAAAAGATTTTATGAGATGAATATTTTACCTCTAGTCATTTGGTTTTTTAACGTTTTATATTACATATAAGAAAAAATTCCAGATTTCAATGAAATAAAGTGTTCTGTACTTACGGTATATTTCATTTATTCCAATTTTATTTCAATTTATGATGTCGATGTAAATTTGAATTCAGAAAATTTTACAAAATTTTGATCTAATTCTACTTTAAGGACAAATGATACAAACAAATTTTGGTCAAAAAAATGTGAAAATGCCAATTTGAGTAATGTTTTTATCTATAAAATGAACAACTTTCACCTCGTAATTTTTGAGTTTTTATTCACATTTTCACAAAAATGGACTTTGAAGTGAAAAATATTTGTATAGATTAATAAGGATGGTCTCAGATAAACAGAAGTTTGAACATCATAGAAGGTTTACAGTTTCTTTATATTTTAGAAATTTATTATTTGCACCATTTTCAATTAAATTAGACCAAAAAATATATACCAATCCAGGCATCGATTTTTTGTTTGTATCATCTGTCCTTTAGTGTTATTAATTGTTTCTGCTTATTTGATTTAAGCATTTGAAAGAAGTGTTAGGTTTGTTTTAGGCAAAGGTGAGCCCTAGCAGACCTGCATTGCCTTCTGGACAAAATCTTGGGGGACCGATCTAGATTTGCAAAACTTGGAATCGCAACAAATGATGTTTTGAATCAGGCATACAGAGACATTTTAGAGTTGGAGGTGCCGCCTTCTCTTGTTTATAACAAAGTAATAGCATCATCAATATATAAAAATCTGCGCCCGGAGCAAGAAAATATTTTATTAGATGCTAAGCATTCGGGATATAAAAATTTTGACATTTCATTAATGTACACACTGATAAGAAACATTTGTGTAACGATTCCTAAACCAACCAGAGGAAAATGGGGAAAAGAGCCTGCAGCAGGAGAAGTTACAGTTGGTGATGATATTGAGAGAATCAGGTCAATCCGAAACAGCTTGACTGCACATGTGAGCTCCGCGTCAACCCCTCAAACAGATTTCGATGACACCTGGTCGACAATGTCGGATATCTGCCAGAGATTGGAAACGTTCACTGGAAAGACATACTTGGTGGACCTAAATAAAATCCAAAGTAAGAAAATTTCTACATAATTTGAACCTTTTAATTTTGGATTATCAAAACTATATTTACGACTACCGTGGTGTTTTATCATAGCTGATTAATATTGAGAGGCCTTTATTTTTTTAACAGACATCCACAAGCTTAAGACTGTTATGATTCTTATATATTTTGTAATTAAAACAATATTCAATCTAATTCTATATTTTGCTTTAAAAATTCTATATTCGTGTTGCTTTCATTGTTTACGCCTCACCTCTCCACTATACAAAGCTTTCTCTGGCAGCTTCATTCCAGGTAACAGGTTCTGGAGGTACCATCCAAAACTCTTACACCCCAGACGCTGTCTCAGTTCCTTTCTCTCTGATACGTCACCATAATCACCCTGAAAAGTGTTTAGAGATACTGTAAAGGTAGGTCTATAGATAGAATTCTTGTATTTTTCTTTTTTCCCAAATTTTAAAGGTAAACCTTGTCAGACATTTCAAACATCCCAATATTCCTTTTAAATCTGCAGTCATCTACCGGTATGTGAGTAGTACAAAAAAGCATAAAACATGATAGAGAACTCAATTTATACAACATTTACACGACAAGTTATAAGGTTGTTGAACAGGATAAAGTGCTTTAACATTCATATTCTTAACTTATTTACTAATAACTTTAGTTTTTTCATTAATATCTGCTATGGTTATTTGTTTTATAACTCTCAGACGATACGATGGTAAAATGAGGAACATGAATTCATTTACATATATACAAAATATATGTCATTTAAAATCTTATAATTTATACATTTCACAGTCTTGTGAAAATAATGTCTTAATTAATAATATGTTTCTTTTAATCATAAAATAATTGAGATATTTTAATGTATGTATTTGACAGACCACTTGAATTCAAAATATCTCAAAACAGTTCTCAAATTACATTTTGTTCTATTCTTAAAAATTTACCTAAATAATTGATATGAACTACAGTGTATATTAACAATTACATGCTCTTTTAAGCACTTTGTCTTGTACAGTTTATATTGAATGTCTAGCAACAAATTTAAATTGAGCCACTGAGTTTAAAAATAAATTGTTTGCTTTACATTTAAAACAAGTTCTTCTTTCAATCTGTTTAAGACTAAAGATTTTATGATGAAAGGAAAAGTCTTAAATTGTCCGTGAAATTGGATCATACGACCAAGATCAAGGTATGGTTTCAATACAAAACTGAAGTAAATGATGAAAACTCATGCTTTTTGAATGATTGGAATTCCATGCAGAAAAATCATACAAATTATTTTTCGCAAATCCATTTATAAATGCTAATTGTGATGTATTAAACATGTGCGTTTTCCCCGTATTTTCTTTAAAAGTTGCAAAAGACACAAATTCTTAATAGAATTTTCTTTCAGATAATATTGTCCACAGGCATCGCCCAAAAAGATTGTGAGATATGTCATTTTTCTGAAGAGTAATTTTACTGAAAAAATAAATAAAAATGCTAAAAATATCG